AACCCGAAACCCTAAACCCTAAACCCTAAACCCTAACCCCTAACCCCTAACCCCTAAACCATAAACCGTAACCCCAAACCCCTAACCCCTAACTCCGAACCCCGAACCCCGAACCCCGAACCCCGAACCCCGAACCCCGAACCCGAACTCGAACCCGAACCCCCAACCCCGAATCCTGAACCCCAAATCTCGAGACCCGAGACCCGAGACCCGAATCCCGAGACCCGAGACCCGAGACCCGAGACCCGAGACCCGAAACCCGAAACCCGAGACCCGAGACCCGAAACCCGAACCCCGAACCCCGAACCCCGAACCCGAACCCCGAACCCCGAACCCCGAACCCCAAACCCCAAACCCCGAAACCCAAAACTTGAAACCCCAAACCCCAAACCCCAAACTTTAAACCCTAAACCCTAACCCGAACCTGAACCCGAACCCGAACCCTGAACCTGAACCCGAACCTGAAACCCGAACCCGGAACCCGAAACCCAACACCCGACACCCGAAACCCTAAACCCTAAACTCTAACCCCTAACCCCTAACCCCTAAACCATAAATTGTAACCCCTAACCCCTAACTCCGAACCCGGAACCCCAAACCCCGAACCCGAACCCCGAACCCCGAACCCCGAATCCCGAACCCCGAACTCGAACCCCGAACCCGAACACCGAACTCGAACCCCGAACCCGAACCCGAACCCGAACCCGAGACCCGAGACCCGAGACCCGAAACCCGAACCCGATCCCGATCCCGATCCCGAACCCCGAACCCCGAGACCCGAAACCCGAACCCGAACCCCGAACCCCGAACCCGAACCCCGAACCCCGAACCCCGAACCCCGAAACTCGAAACCCGAAACCCGAAACCCCAAACCCCAAACCTCAAACCCCAAACCCCAAACCCTAAACCCTAATTTTGGAGAAACCAACGGTTTGTTGTAGGTTTTTTGTTACCCTGTTTCACTGTTTGTGAGTATTCAATTTTGTTTATCTCAGTTATTGTACTTCTTGGGATGATTTATTTAGATTCATATGTATCAAAGGTTATTGTTGCACCTTTTTATTAATAATTAGTTAATGTTTTTGTGTATCCCTTATAGATACATGCAGTATTAGGGTCCCTACTGTAGGGAGTAGATAGTCAAAAAAATACCAGTACCGTGTAGTGTTTAATAACGGAGGTTGCATTATGGACACTTGTAAATGGGGAGCAGTTTAAGTAGTAATTAATAATGACACTTGGTTGCATGGGGAGGCTTACAAACACCCGGGGAAGGCACGAATTTAATAAATAAATTAACGGAATTTAATTTGTAGTTTACCAAATTGAAGAGATAGAGGAGGCGGGCTTTAGCCTTACCAGGAAGCGCTTTTCAAATGATCCGCACCCGGCCGGCCCTCTCTCATCTTCCGTCGTCATCTGCCCTGCTTCATAATAATCAATTATTATGGCTGGTCAAGAAAGCAAGCAATCAGAAAACAGGGTTTATATTTCACAAGAACGTTTTTTATTAATAGAAAACAGAGAATTATATACCAATATACGGATCGGAGCATCTATGTATTCAAGAAAGCATATTGCAGACATATCATTAAGCAAAAAATTAATACATAGTACTTTCTTTCCCAAAAAACATGGTTTATAATTAATCCGACAATCAACAAGAAAACAGGGGTTTTATAATTCATCCGACATTCAGCGAGCAAACACGGTTTTTAAAAAAATCTGAAATAGGGTGTTATATACGGATTGGAGTATGTATTATGTATGTATTCAAGAAAGCAATCTGAAGCATACATTCAACAAAGAATCAGTAATTTTCTTCACAGAAAATGGGGTTTATAAATTATAATTCACACGACATCCAGCAAGAAAACAACGTTTTTTATTAAAGAAAACATGGTATTATATACTAATATACGGATCGGAGTATCTATGTATTCAAGAAAGCAATCTGCATACATTTCATTCAGCAAAAAAATAATTCACCCGACATTCATCGATTCAGCAAGAAAACAACGTTTTTTATTAATAAAAAACAGGGTATTATATACCAATATACGGATCGGAGCATCTATGTATTCAAGAAAGCAATTTGCAGACATATCATTCAGCAAAAAAGTATACTCTTTCCCAGAAAACATGATTTATAATTAATCCGACAATCAACAAGAAAACAGGGGTTTTATTAATTGAAATCAGTGTATTATATACGGAGTACTCTGGGTTTCTGAATTACCTACGCACTCTGGGTTTTCTCCGGCGGGAAGCCTACCACCAAGACGAACAGAGTATTGGATCCACCGAGACAAAGTTTGATTTTCTTGATCGAACTCCTCGGGGTTTTGTTTGTTTCTGAGAGAAAGGTCGGCCTCCGCCGGAAGAAGGGGATGTCTGGGTGGATCGTTTGTTTAATTTCTGAGAGAAAGGGAATTAAAGAAGCTAAGGAGGAGTTGAAGGTAGTATATCATATATATAGCCGGAGGTAACAGAGGAAAATGGGGTTTGGAAGAGCTCTGCCGCGCCGGCAACGGTCAAGTGGAGCGTGTAACAAACTTTGACTTGCCGCCAACCTGACTAGTACAGCTGTTTGATTTGGAGCTCAAATCCTCTGCATGTAGGCAAGCAGTACGCTCGATTCACAACTAAGCCTCTCCTAATCATAACCGTGTTTATTATTCTTAATTGTAATTGTAATTTTAAAAACATTTTAAATTCTTTTTTAACAAAAGAAATTAAGAAGAATTTAAAACGTTGATCTTAAAATTACAATTACGATTGAGAACGTTAGCATCGATCAATTGGTCTTAGATACTAATACTCGGTATTATATAAAAAATACTCCTTAATTGATCACTTGGCTCGCTCCGTATATATACGAGTGCATATATTTATATACTCCTTATTATACGACATATTAGAATGATCAATATTTATGGATTTTGGTCTACAGGTGTATATATTATTTTTACACGATTGTTCCTTTTCAAAATACTGTAACATAATTTTCACAACATTTTAAAGAATATATTAGCTTGGTAAGACCAAATTTATTAAGTGCTTCTAATCACCATATTCTAATTGGTATATGTGAAAGCTAGCTAGATTTGTGTCTTACTACCTTCGTTACTTTTTATTTAGCTAACTTTTACTTTTCTAGTCAAAGATGATGAATTTTGAGCCATTATACTCCCTCCGTCCCAGAAAATTATTCCCACTTTGACTTGGCACGGAGATTAAGAAAGTGGAATAAAGTGGAAAGGTGTGGTTGTAGTTGTGTAAGAAAAAGGTGAAATGAATGTGAACCACACAAATTGTCCAAAAATGGTAAGTGGAAAGAATTTTTGGGAACGGCCCAAAAAGGAAAGTGGGAAGAATTTTATGGGACAGATGAAGTATTATTATAACTAGTATATTTATGTAAAAGTTGATAAATTTATACTCTTATGACAGTATTTTCAACAAAGAACATTTTCATATTATTAATATTATCGTGTATAAATATATAATCGGTCACGTTTGAACAACTTTGACTTGAGAAATAGTGTTTGGCAAAATAAAAAGGGACAGAGGGAGTATAATACTACCTCCGTCCCGAAAAGTTTTGCCAAATTGACTGTTCTTGGTCAATGATGACAAGCTTTGAGCAATGATTTTAGTTATTATATTTGTATATGATTTATAAATTTTATACTTTTAAGAAAATATTTCCAATAAGGAATATTTTGATATAATTTTCATATTCTAAATAGTTTCGTATTAAAATATATCATTGGTCAAAGTTGATTGTCATAGACCAAGAAAAGTCAATTTGACAAACCTTTTCGGGACGGAGGGAGTATAGATCAACTAGAACGATTCTTTAGTTATGCATTCTCATGGAATATAATACATCAAATTGATATTACTATTACATGTCACTAACCGTGGTTAACGTTTTTCCATTGATATGTGAAGTTCAGATCCATCGTACGAGGAGTTGAATTTGAATGATTAACTACGAATTTTTAAACTATATTGTTGGGTTAATAGGCCTGACTGTGGATCTGCTCATTATCCCTTAGCAGATAGACCATCAGGGCCCAATAAGAGCATGGTCCATCAAGATACCCATCAGACGATCGTCGGATCCATCGAGACGCTCGGCCTCAGTGGCCTTGGGCCAACAAGGGCCAGATGACATTCCAGGACCTTCCGCCAGGAAACTTCCAAAAGCCATGCGGATCCCGGCCCTTGCATTCACCAGAGTTCATGGTCTAAGATCAAGGTACGTGATGGAGTATATGGCCCAGGGACCCCCGGCCCACATACTTCCTCTACTACAATCAGGCCCAACAGGCCCAAACGGGCCAAGCCCAGAAAAATGGAGCTCTAAGCAGCCCACAATACGCAAAGGGGTGCCTTCGGCCCCATGGCCGAAGGCTACCAGTGACGGAATCGAGCTCAGAAACATCATAGGAGAACAAGGCTTGAAAACCAAGCCTTCGGCAACTGCAGCCCTCGGCAGGTAGGAGCCCTCGGTTAGAAGAGGCATCATAGGAGATCAAGGCTTGAAAACCAAGCCTTCAGCACCTGCAGCCCTCGGCAGGTAGGAGCCCTCGGTTAGAAGAGGCATCACAGAAGAACAAGGCTTGAAAACCAAGCCTTCGGCACCTACACCCCTCGGCAGGTAGGAGCCCTCGATTAGAAGAGCCTTCGGCCCAGCACCCTTCAGCCGAAGGCATCCACCCCGACAGAATATCCTCTTCACATGCGCCTGGATCACCGTACCAAGTACAAACGTCACCTCCAACCACAGCATTTAATGCGGCCACATGCGAGTGCCAGTGCCACCCCGGTTGAGGTGACCCCTCGACCACCAGAAAACTGACACGTGTCCTTATCTGGCATTTATTACTACTATAAATAGCACCCCTTTCCCCCATTGTAAACCACGCTTAACACATATCGAATATACACTCTCTCTCTCTTACTTATTTGCTCTGACTTCTCTCTAGTTATTCTCCGCAATAACCCCTCGGATAAGCTACCCCCCGGGTACACTATCCATCATTTGGTGCTCTCGTTGAGAGGTCGAACGATCAAGTAAGAAACCCTCCCCCTTCGCCAAACACTAGCCCTCTACCAAAATGGTGAGATCAACACGTGCCAACTCCAAAAACGTAGAAGACAAGAACCTGGCCCTCGGCGACGTCAACGCCCCCGAAGCCTCTCACAAGGCTCCCGAGGGCGGTGTCATTGCTGGGCTGGAACAGGCGGCTGTCGACCTACGCCTTCAGATCCAGCAGAATGCCCCCGATGCCCGCCTCGGCATCGAGGCCAAGAAGAAAAACCGGAGCGATGACCAAGTCAGCCCTCCGGTCCTCACCATCGACGTTCATTCGGCACTCTCCGCCTTCATCCAGACGCTAACTCAGAACCCGGGTGCCTTCGGCACCCTGGCTCCGGCTCAACCCCAGGTTGGGGAGAACATCGTACTTCCCCCTCTGCCACACCCCTTCGGAAACCCCATCCCTCGGGTTAGGAATGACGAAGGGGTAGTGGCCCAAGACACGGCCTCCCAGGAAGTTCAGTCCCGGGACCGCCACAATGACAACAGAGAAAGGCCCCGCACTTCCGCCCTCAACCGGCTCGGAGGGGGGCAAGACCGCCGAGGGCCCCAAGAAAGCGGAGGGTCTGTCTCGAGGGCAGACGAGGAGCGTCCCCCTCGGGACAAAGGCAAGGCACCCCTTCATGCCGACGATGCTCGCCACCAGATCAACCAGGCCCACTCGGCCCAGGTTCGTTCGCAGGGGGCGGAGACCCTCCCGAAGGACCCCCGGGACGAAATTATTGCGGCCCTCCAACGCCGACTTGATGAAATGGAGGCCAACAAAGCTCACGCCACCACCTCCACCCCTCATTCAGACCTCAAATACGAGGTCATGATGGCCAAAATGGAGGAATTACAGAAGAAGGTAGCCGAGGGCTCCGGGGAACCCATCATCCAACTCCGGACCCGGACGCCATTCACCCCAAGGGTATTGGCGGCCCAAATCCCGGAAAAGTACCGAGGGCAACTCATCAAGCCCTATGAAGGAAAAACTGACCCCCAGGAGCACTACAACAGGTATCAAAACAGCATGATGATGATGGGGGCATCAGATGAATACTTATGTCGTTGGTTCCTTTCCACCTTGGAGGGACCAGCATACGAATGGTTCAATCGATTGCCCGAGGGCAGCATTGACTCTTGGCAAGATCTTGCCCAACGCTTCCTCACCCATTTTGCCGGAAGGAAGCGCGCGAGAAAGCACTTCTCCCAGCTCCTCTCCGTTAAGCAACAGCCTGACGAAACACTTCGGTCCTTCATTGACCGGTGGATGAAGGAGACAGACGAGGTCGAGGGCGCTGACGAGCGTACCCTCCTCGTCCTCCTCCAGGGGGTTCTCCGCAGCAGTCCCTACGCACGGAGCCTCATCACCGACCCCCCAAGATCATACCTCAGAGCACTCCAGCGGGGGAGCCTATACGCCGACGCCGACGACCTCCACTCCTTCAAGAAGAACGAGGGCCAGCCCTCGAAGAAGATAAACAACACGCCGGCCCCAAATGTGCCCTCGGCCGGAGGCCGAGACCATGGAAGCCACAACCAGCAGGGCCGTAACGAACGCCAATGGCGCCCTCGGCTGGACATGCCGAGGACTCCCCTCACGCACCCGGTGAGCACTATCCTCAACTATGCGGAAGAGCAGGACCTTTTCCCCAAGGACCCTCGGTCGGCGAGGGAGATCTACGCCATCCACCAAGGCGGCACTTATTGCTGTTACCACAAAAGCACCTCCCACAATACAGACGATTGTGTCTCGTTAAAGAAGGCTATTGAACTCTTAATTCAACGGGGTGAGCTCCACCAATTCATCAAAAATGCCCTAAGGAAAAACACCGGGGAGAACACCGATAAAGAAAAAGGGGACATCGCAACAAAGAAACATGAAATCGGGAGGCTCAGTGACGGAGAGGAGTTCGAGGAGCCCCAGCCGAAGAAGCGCCACCTCCGCTAATAATGTTCCTCACCTTCGGCATTAGTCTCAGCCTTGGGCCCTCGACCTCGAGGCACATTACCATCCCCTCGGCCTAGAGCCCTCGACCTTGAGCGGTGAATCTTAACAAAGCCGTTGTCAAACAACGCGCCCCTTGTATTCCGCTTATTTCTATGAATTTAAGTAAACTACAACACAATCCAGACATCTTATCGGCCCCTTCGAGGCCAAATGCCCAGGTATGGCCGATGGTTTCTAAAGACGAGGGGCCTGCAAAAGGCCCGCGTTTTTGGAGCGGGACGCTCGCCGCGTCGCCGGCGCGCAACGCACGACGACAGGCCTGAAAGAATGGCTGAGGTGACGAAAACCCCAAACTTGGGGGTGAAACGGCAGTCGTCGGAAACCGACCAAGCCTAGCCCGCGCCGTAAATAGACGACGGGACCCCCCAAGGTCAAGGGACGGTTCAGCGCCGGGGGA